GCTGCCATCTGGTGTCTGTTGGCTGTGTACCACATTTTGAGAAGCACTGCTGAAGTTAATGACCTCCAGACTCCTGTAGTGAGTGATGGCAGAGAACTGTGTCCTAAGAGACCATAGAGCAGTGGTTCTCAACCTTCTTAATGCTGTGACCCTTTAATACAGTTCCTTATGTTGTGGTGATTCCAACCATAAGATTATTTTGTTGCTACTTCATAACTAATTTGCTACTGTTACAAATCATAATGTAAATGTCTGTGTTTAGTGATGGTCTTAAGCAACATTTTGATGGGTAAGAACCACTGCCACAGACTCTCCATTTTCTCCAAGTGTCACTCTGCTTGCCCTTGATTCAGCAGGTGTTCAGTGAGTGGCTGGTATGAACCAGGCAACCCTGCTTCCTATCCTTACAGAGTGCTTCATGGTGAAGACATCCTTCCACAAATATAACCAGCTCCTGGGTGGGAGTCCTGGTGTAAGACCTCTGTGATGAGCATATTCAAGAACTATTCCCTGGAGCAGTGCGTATTTTAAGCTCTAGTACAACTATAGGGTATGACTTTTCTCATTGGCTTTGCTGTTTTTCTGTTCTCACATTTTTAGCCCCCCAAGGAGCTTTGAATGTTTTATTGTTTTTTTTTTTTTAATTGGGCTAATCATCATGATGTAACTTGACACCATTAAAAATACTCCCAGTGTGTGTGTGTGCCATTTGAGGCCTGCTGCCACTGATGAGTAGCACCGGCTTCTGGTTGAAACAGACAGGTGCAAGGTGTATTTATGACCTGGACTGAGTTTAGGGAGGACTTGGGCTCCTGGTGTCCTGATAGGTTTATCTCCCAAGCTACCTGATTAAAGGTGGCAAAGCCATTCCCTAAGCAGTGATTGCTGAAACAATCCAGGCAGAGTGCTGGAACCCAGGGAAGCTCCACAGCCAGAACTGATCACAACAGGTCTGCTGGGACTGGTGTGGGGTGGGGGAGTGGCATCTCCTGCCAGACTGTGCACAGTCTAACTACCACCACCATTAAAGAAAGCAAGTAGTGACTTTCCGGTTGAGTAAAACCTGTCAATCCAGCCCGTACTTTCTTTTAATTTGTACTATAACTTTTAATTGTCTTCTTTTATTCCTAGCCACGTCCCTGCTTTTAGTTAATTGTGTGTATAGCAAAGTGATCTTTGTCACAAATAAGAAGCTAACTTCTCCACTATTGATTTCTAGGCTGTCTTATTTCACTTTCAAATCTGACATCCTAGAAAGACTCCCAGAGCTGGAGACCAGGTAGCGTACATTCTCCTTCAGCTGAATTTCAAAGGCAAGCTAGCTTCCTCCTCTGGGAATCTGATGTTCTCAGTGGCGGCATTGCTTTGCCTTGTAGCATGGTATAGCTTTTCGTCCTAAGGATAGTGCTTACTGGCTGGGGTAACCCTCTCAGAGCAAGTAATTTCATTTCACAGGTCTACAGTTTTCCAGATCTTCTCTGTTCAAGTCTGGGCCACACAGCTAGCTCCCTACAAAGGCTTGCAGTTGTAGGGAGAGGTTCAGTTAAACTTTGTGTGAGCACTGTGTCCCAGTCTCCATAGAAATCACATAGACTGGGAAGAATGGTGTGCACATTGCCTGTGTCCTACTCAGTGTTCAGTGACTGGCTCTGGTGGGTCCAGTTGCATCCAGTGCAGATGGATTGAATGTATCCAGTGTTTCATTCACACTACTCTGCTTGCTGTGTAAGCTAAGGCCCTGTGACCTTAGCCTCTCCAGTGCTCCTCTAGAATAGCAGAAGGAATGCATCCTGGGATAGCATGAGAATTAAAGTAGACAGCAAGTCCAAGATCTATGGTCTGTGTCGTAGCTTATTTTCATTTATTTTTGGCGATAACAATTGAGCAGGGCCTTGATGTATGCTAAACAGGCACATTACCCCAGAACTACACTCCAGCCCCATCTTTATCATTACTGTTATCTCCTGGCCCTCAGCATGGAAGGGAGGGCCTGAGTGCACAAGATTGTCACCCAAACAAATGTGAAGGTCCTAGGGAGAAACACTTGAGATGAGCACATAAATCCAGTGAAAAGGCTTGAGTCAAGGGGCAGATTAGATCTTTTTCCTAACTGTCTCATTTTTAAATACGTCTACCTATATTTTACTTGGTAATTTTGACTACTTGTGTGAACATGCGTTGACATGGATTTACTGAAGTACTTTTAACCCCTTACGAGTCAAAGAAGTTGCAGTGTTTGGTTAAAGAGCTTGGCCCTAGTGACAAGGCTGTATTTTACTTGGGATCATGGAGTTCCATTACATGGTAGCAGCCCTGCACAATATGTGGTACCCTCTTGGCACTTCTGTCTAGGCAGAACTGCTGTTACAGAAGGGGACCTGCAAGCCTGGAGGGCCAGCTCTGTTGTGAATGCCCTGTCAGTGCTGGAGTGAAGAGCAGGGCTGTCCAGACAGCTGACGGTTCCCTCCTGCCCTGTCATCAGCCCACTCCTGCTTCTCCTCCCAGGTGGTCACCCAGCACCACTGCTGAGCAATGAAGTTAACAAATGTTTTAATTTCACTGCTGAGTAGTTCTGCAGAGGGAGAGACAGCAGATGAGAGCACTTCAGAAGCCACCGCTGGTGGAAGCTCCATTCCCCACAGCTCAGATGATAATGCCAGACACAGTGGATACCCAGAGAGAATGTGAACTATTCAGAGAGCCGTAGGTGAACAAAGGAAACAGCCTGGCCTGGGGTAGAATAAGGAGACTGTGTGATATCAGTAAGAAAGGAAGGGAGGGATGAAAAGCAAAAATGGAGGAAGTAATGTGTTTACCAGGGGTGTTAAGAGTGGAGAGTGACTGTGAGCTAGCTCTTCCTATGTGAGACATCAGCAGCCTTATCCCACAGATTCTGCAGGTCAGGAACCTGGCTGGTCCCTGATTTGAGCCTCTCATGGCTGCAGCTGGAGTGTCAGCCAGCTACTGTTATCTCTGGGCTCAGCTCCCCAGGATCTTAGCAGGTTCCAGAAGGTATGCTTTCATACTACACTCTGCTGCAATTGGATCTGTCCCTTCTTCCCAGTGATCTCTCCCTAGGGCAGTTCAAACATGGTAGCCTGCATCTCCCAGAGCAAGGCAGAGAGAGGCAGCAGTTGAGCAGAGCATGTCAATGCTTACACTGTCACATTCACCGGCAAGCAGAAGTCTTGGGAGCTGTTTTGTATATTGACCTCAGGTCCCCTATTGCTACCAGTGAATGGTATTCTAAAGAGATGGTAGACCAACTAACAACAAGCATGAGAAGTTGGGTTAAATTTGGACAAAGGGGATTTAAAGCATTCACTTGATGTTTTTATTTCTTATTCATTGTTTTTAAAGTAGATGATATGTTACCTAAGGTTAATGGAAATTATTTATAAAATCTTTATGTGGATTTTTTTTAAATGTGTGTGCACTTGCACACATGCAGTATGTGTTCTGATGCCTGCAAAAGCCAGAAGAGAAAGGGCATCGGTTCCCTCAGAACTGGAGTTTCAGGTAGTTGTAAACTTCCCATCATAGATGCTACAGCCTGAACTCTGGTCCTCTGCAAGAGCAGCAAGTGCTCTTAGCCATGGAAGTGCAGATTATTAAACTAGGTTTTGTCCAGGTTTACTTTTAGAGATGACCAAATCCATAAGGAACCCCCTTTAAAGGTTACTATAAGAAGTATACTTGCAACTGTATGAAGGAATTACGTTTTGGTGGACCTCATGTTTTTCAAAACAAATTTTTGCTAAAATAGAAATATTAACTCTACCTTCCCATTGGTGTTCCTCCCATTTACATAAGAGATGTTCTGTTAGATCAAAGAAAGGTATGTTCGTTTTGTTTATTTTGACACTGGGTTGCTGATACTTTACTGTAATCTCAAATAGTCAAGGATGTGGCCCTGAGACCTGGAATCTAAGGCCTGTCTGTGTGGCTCTATATCAGAAGAGGGCTGGAGATCAAGCCTCTTTAAAGGATTGTCAGGGAAAGAAACAAGGGTTGACAGGAGGCTGGGGCTAGCCGGGCTGTGTGACAATTCCCTGTCTCCTCGAAAATAATGTTTTAGACCAGTTTTAGATCTGTTATGGTAATAGATTTGGAAGAAAGCTGAAAGGGGTTGGCCACAAAGACGGGTTTTTAACCATAGTTCTTCAGGGTCACTGATGTTAGGAAACTGGTAACGAGGCAGAGTGATGCCAGATGCTATTGGAAGGTTAGACAGTGTGAGGGGAGAGGCAAGGCAGGCTGTGTGTGAGTGTTGGTTCCAGAAGAAACTTTGACACTTTTCCTTTCTAAAGGAGGAGCAGCCGTCACCTTGGGGTAATTAATATGTGAATCATGTTCTCTGACAGCTGGCACCTATAAGCCAACACATTGTTAGCCTTATTACAGAATATATCTAAAAGTAATAAGGCCCGTGTCTTTCTAAATAGTCTATCATTCAGAATGTAAATGACTTAAAGTATTCTTTTTTCCTAACTCACAAGGTTTTAATTGCATTCTCAAATAGTAAAATGACAGTTCATTCAATTTGAAATTCAGATATCTTCACCTGAGAAATATCCAGTGCCGTAGATTCAGAAAGGTCTAATTAGGCAAGAAGTGCATTACATTTGTTAAAAATATACTGCACAGCTACTATGTGGCAGACTGGTTTCTTCTTGTCGAGGCCGTAGAGTCCTGGGAGCATGTTTGCTGCCTTCCAAAAGTCTCCAAGGAGAAAGCAGTAATGAGACAGTTCTAGCATGTGTGTCCAGTACAGAGGAGGACCAGCAGAGAGGAATTGGGCCTGTGGGGCTCCTAAGGAGGGCTAGAGGATGGGACTGGGTGCCTGAGTGGCTGAGCTGGTTGAGTTGCTATACCTACAAGCTGGTGCAGGTGAAGGGCTGATGGAGAGGTGTGAGGTCAAGTTGTCAGAGCCCTCACGCCATAGATACTGTTCTTGCGGGTAATTAATCTCTCTCTCCCCCTGGGTATTTGGTTAACAGACCATAATGGGATGTCTTAAGGATGAAGGAGAAGGCTCAGCATTTCAGAGACTCCTGGACAAAGTACAGGATGGGAGCCTGGATGTGCAGGTGGCCTTGTGTCTGATGAGACTGTACCAGGAGTCCATGCCTGCAGAGAAGGTGTCTCAGCTTCAGCCAGAAGGTAGGAGGGCATTCGGCCACCTGGGTGACCCAGCTTTTAGAGTTCTAGCCAGGGATGTGTATCGTTGGTGGCTTTCATGTAGGCTCTTGTGCTATCCCAGAAGCTGCATGTTAAATATGAACAGGCCTCCTGTGAGTCTCCATTTCAGCTCTATCTAGACTGTTACTTCAACAAACTGAGGCTACTGTCACTGTCCTCATGCCTTTCAAAAAGCCGAATGTCCAAAGCAGCGCCTCAAGTGACTGGTTCGTTGCCAGCACTTAAAGGCTGAAGTTGCTCTCATTTGGGTTAGGTACAAAGCAGTGGCCTTGCCTACCAGAAGTTAACCTCTGGCTGGCTCTGAAGCTTTGTATTTCGACAGATAAATGAAACATTTTTCCTTTCATAGAGTTTAAACAGAATAATAAAGTATTTTCCTCTCCAAAAGTGATTCTGCATTCAGGTGCACCGAAGCACTTTACTATTCTGTTAGATCTCTCTCGACAGACCACGCTGTCATTTTCTTCAAATTGACTAGCTTCTCTTGTGTGTCTCTAATTCTTTCTCCCCCAGGGAGCACAGGGGAGGGAAAGACCTTGTCTGTTCTGTTACTGGAACACAAAGAGGACCTGATCCAGTGTGTAACAGAGCTCAGACCTATTGTGGAGTTCCTGGAAACAGCCAAGGAGGAATTCCTGCCCGTCTCCGAAAAAAGGGTAACTGTGTCAAGCCTGTGCCCCTTCTGAACTGCCGCAGAGCCTGTTCCTAGTGCCTTTGCCTTCCGATATTTTGATACCTTCTGCATAGTGATCACCTTGGCTAATTGGAGGTTCCTGCCACATGTTCCATTCTGTTTCTCACCGTAGCTTATACCGTGCACTTTGCAGAGCATGGCCACTGGGCAGGTGGGCGGGCAGATGGCACTCCTGCGGCTGGGATTCTGACTTTACTGGAAGCTGTTGTGGCAAGAGTTGAATGTTGTGGCACATTTGTAATTAGGATGTTTTTCTTATTTATAGAAATGATACATGGTTAATATGTAGATACAAAAGAAAGCAAGCAAAAATACATTTTTTAAAAATTGAGAGGATCCTGCTAGCAGCATGTGCTTCCCTTTGTCTCCTTGGAGTCCTGGGATGAGGCAATAAAAACTCATGGCCCTTCTCTGCTACCACGCATCTCTGTCTGCACTTAGGGATCAGGGAGCACTGTTATATTCTAATGGGCATCCCGTGACTCATTCACTTCTTATTCTTGGGCATTTGTTGCCAATACTTTGGTGTTATAAATGATGTTGTAGAGGACATCCTTGTAGGCAAAGCTCTGCAGACTTCTAGATATTATTTCCTTAGAGTAATTTTTTAAATGGAATTTTAGAATAGAGTGTAAAAAGTCTTCGTGGACATTGTCAAATTGCCCTTCAGGAAGGTCACACCAGTTTATTCTCCCAACAGCTAGCTGCTAAAACCCTCATAAAACTGCTGGCATGACTTCTTAGGGCAACTAGATAACTGTATTTGTTGGTGTTATCGATTTCAACTTTGTGCTAAAAATATGGCTGTCTAGAAGGAGGGGTCGGGAGAGAGAACTTTCGTGGCATTACTGCTTAAAACTGAGAGGATGACTTAGAAGCCCAGGAGAGATGTTTCTAAACCGTTGGTGTGGTAGCACAGGATTCATAGTGGGCTGGGTCCTAGATTCAGGCTGCCTAAGTCATCTTAGGTCGAATGTCCTGGCAGACCGACAATTAGGGGAAGAAGCTTCTAATCTCAGAAATATAGTTTGGAAATTGATGATGTTTTCAAGTTCTGTAAAATTCAGAGACAATGCTAATATGGTGGAGAATGAGCTTGTTTTTTGCTCCTGAGGTTTCAGATTAGGTGTAATCTTGGGCACTCAGTTTCAGTAAGTTGCTTATTGCACCAGAAGCCTCTGATTCCCTGTTGAGAGATTTCGTTCGATTATTTCTCCCAGCCTTTTCCTGACAAGCTAGGCTGAAAGTGGACTTTGAGCTGTTGCATTATCTTGTAAAGCAGCACTTAGAGGTAGAACCAGCCCCAGCCCTAAGCTCTGCTGCAGGATAGACCACACTGTCATTTTCTTCTGTCACTTTCAGTTTACTTGACAAAAAAGGCTGGAGCAGAACTTAAATTAGTTGCAAATCACAGCAGCTCTTCTTAAGCGGGGGTCATACAGCCACAGCAGCAGCTGCTAGAAGACTCAGCAGCCCAGCCAAGCCCACTGTAGAGGTGAATGTTGAATCCATGGCCACAGTGTCATGGCACCATGGGGAAAAATTATCAGACCTTTCAGAACTTCTTTTATGAAATTATGCTTTTTGTGCTTTCTCTGTAAAAGCCTCAAGTTCTCTCTGTGAAAAAATGAGAAGGTAGAATTTCTTACTTAAGGGCATAAGCATAGCAGTTATTATAGTTGCTATTTGTTTACTGCTTATGGGCTGAAAGTGTTGTCCTGACTGTTGTCCTCCCCAGCAGCTCTGTAATCTCGTGGACAGGGACCATGCTCATAAGAACTGGGAGCTTGTGAAGGCTGAGGCTCTGATGGGCCTGAGCTCACTGAGAGCATCGTCACCACTGTGCAGAAGGCTTGTGCTAATAGCAGCATGCTTCTGAAAGGAGCATCTGTGTCCTTAACAGTCTTACCGGGCTCTGTAAGCAGCAGCCGCATCTCACAGGCTCCTCAGAAGGACAGTGCAGGCGTTGGTGTGGGTATCCGCATTCACAAGTGGGGAAAGTGAGCTTCCAAGAATCATGTAACTTGCCCAAAGTCACACAGCATGAATAGCTAGTAGTGGGTACAAACTGGGTCAGTCTGGCCATAAGAGCCATCCCTGAGCTGTTTCATTGGGCATCAGAAGGATGCTTCAGAGTGAAGGGTGGGTACTGAAGTCATTACAGGATTTAAATACAAGCTCTCAAATTTTAAATTATGATTCACTTAGTATCAGACCTTATCCAAAGAAAAAAATGACTAACAAGGAATATGACAACTTGATTATTTTACACATATTCCTTTCACATGTAGAAAGACAATTTGGTTTTAAAGCACAATTCGTTATTTTATAACGGAGCTAATTTGATAATGGCAGCTGCTGGCATGCTTCTATGACTGATCTGCTTAACTGTCTCCTGAGAGCAGGCATTTCCCAGAGGAAGGCTCACAGCTTAGTTGCTGTGGATCCATGGACCGAATACACCAAAGTAATCCTGCTCTCTTGGTTCTGTAAGAGCCATGGTATGCTTATTCCACCACAGTCCATTAAGAAATAGTTCTAGGGCTGGAGGGATGACTCAGCCATCAGAGGCTAGGCTCACAACCAAAATTAGAGGAAACAGTTTTATGCCAGGGAGTGGTGGTACACACCTTTAATCCGGCACTGGAGAGGCAGAGGCAGGTGGATCTCTTTGAGTTTGAGGTCAGCCTGATCTCCAAGTTTTAGAACAGCCGGGATTGTTAGATGGAGAAACCCTGTCTCAGAGACAGAGGGGGAGAGGGAGGAGAAAGAGAAAGGTGAGGGGGAGACAGAGAGATGGGAGGGGGTAGTTCTATGGCAACAGGAAAGTGTCTGTTACATGTTTAATTGTCCAACCTATTTCCTAGAGCCCTGTGACCTTTTTGCTCATAAAATCCATTGACAAACCAAGAAAGATCAAGGGGAGTGGGACTGTTGAGTTGTGAGTAGAGCTGAAACATGGGGCCATTGAGAGGCTGGGGCTGGGCTGGTGGGTGAGACAGCCGCATGAGCACCTGAGTGTGGATCCCAGCACACATGTACTAAACAGGCAGAGTCGCCATGTGTGCCTGTAGCCCCAGTGCTGGGGGTGGGGCAGAGGATCACTGGGGCTGGCAAGCCAGGATCTGGGTTCACGGAAAGACCCTGTCTCAAGGGAACAAGATAGAAGTTAATAGAACAGGACAGGACACCCAGTGTCTTCTTCTGGCCTTTGCATACACAGAGCATGGGGAGGGGGCATAGGAATGCAGGCCTGTATACACACAGAGAAGAAGTCACAACAAAACAAACAAACCCACAAAGCCTAGGGGCACACACTGAAACCTCAATACTCAGGAGGCTGAAGCAGGGGGATTTCCCTGAGTTTGAGACCAAACTCTGCTGCAGAGTTAGTACCAGGGCAGCCATAGCAAGACCTGGTCTCTACAAACAAAAGATTCTACAAAACATAAGAAAAATAATCTGAAAGAACACTTTGTTTTTTAGCCAGAGACTAAGGTTTTTTAGTATTCAAATAAAGTAGAAGTAAATAAACAGAATTGAATACAAAACAAAGATAGAAAAGCCTTTTAACAGTGTTATTTGCCGGCCTGTTGTGTCTCAGCATCTCAAGCAGACAGGACCCAAAGAGCTGGTCAGTTGTGCACTACTTCCTGGATCACATCTGCCAGGCATGAGGGACTTTCAGCTGTCTGTGCTGGTGCATACCTGTACCTCTAGTAGTTAAGAGGCTGAAGCAAGAGATTGCCATGAGTTCAAGGCCAGCCTGGGCTATATAACAAGTACCAGGCCAGTCCTGTTTCTAAAAAAGTGCAAACTGTTGGAAGCAAAAGTTATATGTGGGCTTGCTGCTGGGGAAGTTTCATAGAGATGTTTGTTTGGAGAATGTTTGAAATTTAGAAAAAGCAAAACAGAAAAAGGAAGGGACTATGACAAAAAGTAGTTCTAGAGGCCAACTGTGGAGGCTTGGAGATGGGCATGTGGTAAGGCTCTCTTGCTGGCTTCCCGGCAGTGTTAGATCCATTTTGAATTGAGGTAACAGTGTCTGCTTGATTGCATGCCCCTGCAGGTGATTCTGAACTGCTGTGAGGGCAGAACACCCAAGGAGACAATAGAGAGTTTGTTACACAGAATGGCTGAAGAGAAGACCCTGCCTGCCGAGAGCCTGCTAAAACTCCTCCAGGCTGTGAGGACAGCATTCCCAAACCTGGGCCTCCTGCTGGAGAATTTGCAGAAAGTAGCAGAGTCACCTGGCACCACAGGTACTAGTTAATTGTTTAGTCTCTAGACAGGAGCTGCTTGTCAGAAAATCACAGCTTACATCTCCGTTCTGGCCCGTGCCTGGAAGAGGAGCTGTGTTAAGGAATGACATTGCATTGCGAAGCAAGTTCACTGTCAGATTGGTTGGGATCTGAGATGCTGGAGGGTCTCTGTGGTTCAGGCTTATAAATGGACCCTCTTCCTGCAGGGCTGGCCGGGGTCACCTGTGAAACTGAACAGATAGAGGGATCCAGGAGGCTGTGCATTCCAACAGACTCTGTGGATGGATGTGAGTGGCAAATTCAAATCCTGATTGCCCCCTTCCCAGCTGTGTGCCACAGTCCCCAAGTTAGCTTCCTTGGTGTCCCTCAGCTTGGGGGAAGGAGCCCATTTCCGTTCATAGCCGGCTGGAACTACTTGCCTAACCCAGAGCATCTAGGACCAAGATGGCTTTCTGGGAAACAGCTTTTCTCCAGCTTATATACATATACAAATACAAAGTGGGACAGTTCCCAAAAAATGAAGAAAATAAGCTGTTGTTTTACTCCCCCAGTCCTTCATTGTTGATGTTGAGATGTGTGCTCATGTTCATAGATTACCTAGTTGTATGATCGATCCTTTAACAGTATCAAAGGATCCTCTTGCATCTCTAGAAACTCCAATCTTTTTTGATACTTGTGTACTTTTCTGTCACACAGCTATGCATGGTATGTTACACGTGCCTTGATTTGGGCAGATATGGTATAATAGGAAGCCTGGAAGCCATGGTGCATTTGTGGCTGTTTGACTTTAAGGCATCTTTACTTTATGAACCTCATTGGAACAGGTGTAAAAATTGTACCCTGTCACATTCATTATTGTGGCTATTGTGAAATGACATCTATTTAACTCTTAGTGAAGTACCTGGCATATAGTAGGCTCTCAGCAAATACTAAGTACTGTCTTCACAAGTCAGTATCTTCATCATGGCTCTACAACGGCAATGGCTCTTTGCCTTCAGGTTTTTTGTTTTGTTTTGTTTTTGGCTTAGTTTCCAGAAGTAGATTTACTGAGTCAAAGAGGAAAATAAAAACAAAACTATGTATAAACTAAGGAATTTAGTTTTATGCAGATTGCTTGTGTTTTCTTTTCCTTTAAGGAAATATCACTTAAGGAGTAGTTAACAGATGGTCTCAGGGGGCATCTGAACAGAAGAGCACACCTCTTCCTGGGCACAGCCTGGACTGGTAGCTAATGGTATTTGGGATCACCACATGGATCCTTTACCCTGGGCGTTGTGAGGAAGACCCCCTGAATCTATACCTCAGAGCCTCTCGAAAACTCAGCCTCATTACCCGCCTGCTGGGCAGTCCCTGGCTTCTACCAGGCACAGGTGATTCTGTGTAGACCAGAGGAGACCTGAATGCTGTGTGTGTGTGCGCGGCCCAGGGCTATCCATGGGCCTCCACTCTGTAGCAGAAACAGCTCTCATGCTGTTGTTCTCTCTCACTTGTCTGTGGCTCTTGTTGTCTGTAGAAGCCCTGACTGCTTCTGGTGCATCAGGCCTTATTGCTGTGCTGATGTCCTTACAGCCCACACTAGCCCTGAGGACTGTGTATGCTGATGTCCTTACAGCCCACACTAGCCCTGAGGACTGTGTGTGCTGATGTCCTTACAGCCCACACTAGCCCTGAGGACTATGGCGCTGAGCTGTTGCGAAAGTACCAGGAAAACCTGTCTGAGGTTCTCACAGACCACCAGGTGCTACTAGAGGCAATCTCACGTGTGAAGAACTTAGCCCCTGGAGACAGAGAGGTGAGCAGGAAGGAGGGAAAATATGGCTATGTATACACACACATTTACATTTTCTATAAATACATAATACACCACTGTGTTGAGAAATACCAAGAAAGAGAACTAGAAGGTGACCCGTTTTCTTAGAGTGACTGCCAGATAGAGTAGTTGCAGTTTCTTTTTTTAAAGTTTTGTTTGTTTGGTTTGTAGAGTGGACAACCTGCAGGAGTCAGTTCTCTCCTATCAGGAGAGTCTAAGGATCAAACCGAGGCCATTAGAGTTGGTAGCCAGTGCCATTACTCCCTCAGCCACCTCATTGGCCTAAAGAGTTGTATTTCTAAGTATTTTGCACTGCATAGTTCTACAGTAATAAAGGGAAGCATTCATGAGAAAAAACAAAGAACTTCGTCATAGAAAACTTTGTCAGGTTTGGTAGGAGAAGAGGATTATGGGTTCAGGGCCAGCCTTTGGTGCACAGTGAAATCCTGCCTAAAAACGCAAGCGCGCGCATGCACGCGCACGCACACACACACACACACACACACACACACACACACACACACACACACACACACACACACACGGGGGGGGGGGGGGGGCAGGGAGGGAGGGAGGGAGACAGGGACTTTGAGCTAGGATTAACACACCCAGGGCATCGTGTGTATTAAATAAGCTTTCTACTATTTCTACTACTAGGCTGTGTCCCTGATTCCATACCCTGCCCCCTTACACACAAAGTAAATCTGATTTTAAAAGTTTCCCAGGTTGAGAGAGGTGAATATTGAAAAGACCTCCTCTCCCACAACACATTCACCTGAACCCAGAACTGAGACTTAACTGTTTTGCCACAAGCTCAGGACCAGTCTCTTACCCCCATGTTTGTGTTGCATCTTGAAGGTTATGGAGACACTCGTGAAACGGGCCTCTGGCTCAGGTGGCTTCAATTCCCTGATGTCAGCAGCTCTGGAAAGGCAGTCTCTCTCTGCAACAGCCGTCTGGCAGCTGTTGCTAGTAGCTCAAGAGACCCAGCCCTGCCCGCTGAACCTGCTCTTGGAGGAAATAGGAAAGGAGCCTGGTGCTGGAGCTTTCTTCCAGGCAGGTGAGTTGTCTGTGCTCTGCCTTGGTGTTGCCCCAATAGAGACAACTCTTGACTCCCAGGAAATAAGAGGACTCTCTTATGGTTGCCATCTGTGTCCCTCCTCTGAGAAGCAATGGCTAGTAAGTTTCCGTGTTCTTCTGCACAATGGGGTGACCATAGGTGAACAAGGTATGTGTGTTTGAAGAAAGCAAGAAGAAAGGGTTTTGAATGTGTTGAGAAAAGTGGTGTTTGAGGAGCTAGATAGCGAGTCCTGATTCAAACATGGCACAGCATCTGCACACATGGAAACATCAGGTGGTAAAAACACACAAAGGCTTATGTGTCAAAGGAAATACAAGGATATTTGTGTTTGGGGCTGGGGGTGCTGACAAGCCCTCTTTCATTATTATGCTCTGGCTATAGTGGTTAGCTTTTCTCACTCCTAGTCCAAATGAAGCGACAGATGACATGTATTCTTTGTGAAGAGTGGAGTGGAGAGGTGAAGGAGAGCATGATGCTCGTGGTTTGGCTGAGTGTCCAGTCTCCCTTTCTTTCAGTGACTGCCCCAGAGAGCACTGTTTTGGAAGCAATCCTGAGGCATAGCAAGCTGGTCACAGAGGCCATCCAGCAGATGACAGAGCTCAAACACTTCTCTTCGGAGGATGAGCACCTGGCTGAGATTGTCAAAGAGGTGGGGAGTGGAGGAGTGGGTAAAGGCTGGTGGGGTCACTGAATTCTGTAGAACTTTGCAGGATAGATGCCTGAAGCCTTCTTCATTCTCTGCAGCATGTGTATTGCATGCCTAGTGCTCTGCTAGCTCTTCAGAACACTGTATAGGCTTTTGCTTTTGGGCCACCATCCAGCTCCCAAATCATGATACAGAGACTTATTATTAGCTATGAATGCTCGACCTAGCTCTGGCTAGCTCTTATATTGTAAATTGTGCTTGCTGGTGGCTTCCTGGCTAGCCCCAGGCGTCTCCCTCCTTTCTCCCTGGTTCTCTCCTTCTTGTTCTTTTTGAGCGTAGGTTTCTCCTCCTATTTATTCTGTCTGTCTGTCAGCTTTGCCTGTCTCTCTCCTGCCTACCTATTGGCCATTCAGCTTTTTATTAGGCCAATCAGGTGCCTTAGACAGACAAAGTGAAGTGAATGTAACATATCTTTACATAATTAAACAAATGCAGCATCAACAAATGTAACATGGCTTCTCATAGTTAAAAGTACTATTCCATAGCGTAAACTTTAAATGTAACACACCTTTGCCTTGTTAAAATAATATTCCACAGCAGAACGCCTTTGCTCTTTAGCTTTCCAGCCCTAAGTGGCCGGTGATGTCATCTCCCTCTACAGAAGAGTCCAGGCCTGAATAGTTATTTCCAGTCTAGGAAGCTGGTTAGTAAGTGGTTTGTGTTTCTGGTCCAGGACACTGGTGAGGAAGCAGTGAAGCCAGAATTTAAGCCGGTGACACTTCCAAGCTTAGAGTAGCTGGAGAAATGGTGACTCTTTCTCTACCATGTTCTCAGAAGTAGCTGGGCTCAGATAAAGGAAGTTGGTCTTATTGCATGTTTTCTTCTGGCCTCTTGAAAGAGCCAAGATAAACATAGATAGAACAAAGCTTTGCCCAAATGGGGGTGGGGAGCAAATAGTGCCAGCTCATTTTCTGTGAAGCATCTCACAATGTGACCAGCATCCCAGAAAGTCTAGATGGGGGCTGAGAGGAAGACTCAGATATGTCCAGATCTGGATATATACACCTCCAACAGGGAAGGCTAATAAAGGAACATAAAATTAAACCATAGATGCACCTGGAATGTCCTTTTGATCCACATAGACAGAAGGGCAGGTTTCTAACCATCCCCACTGGCAACAGCCCCACCTCAGTCTGCCTCTCAGATGGGAAGAAGGCGGCACACGTTCCTGCAGAGCTCCAGAGGCAAGGCTCATCTGCCCGTCTCTCTCCAGAGAGCTGCACACTTCAGAGCTGGGGCCTCTGCTGTTGATCGCTTTAGCCTCACTAATTAGTCTCCTGCCTGCCTCCAGGGGCATCAGGGTTATTTAGATAGACCTGAAAAGAGCAGAAATAAAATATCTTCCAAAATGAAAGTTCCACATGGCCATCTGTGGATGGTCTCACTTTATTTTCTCAGTGTGATGACTCTCTGCCCACAGCGCTAACATTCTGAAAGAGGACAGCTTTGAAATCATATTCCTGGCCTCTTTAAAGCCCCTATTTGAACCTGCTTTAAAACGCCGAGTTTCTTATGAAAGAAAATGATGTTTAAAAGGGTACATCTAAGTGTCTAAAAATATGAAGCCACTCTCTATGCAGAATTACTTCTAGACATGGAGACAATTATATATTATGAAAAATTATCCTGATCTTTACAGAAGCAGCCGCTGCTAAATGCTATAGACAGATAGACAGTCAGACAGATGCATACACACTCACTCTTCCCATGGTCAGATCTAGAAACCTGAACCCTGCCCAACAGGCTCCCCATGCTCATTTCTAGACTCTAATTACCACCATCACCCCCAGCTTTCCATGGTCATTTCTAGAATCTTATACCCTGCCCCACCCCACAAGGCTTGCTTAGTTCTAGAAAGGCTCTTAAGAGGTACCAGGTTCTAATAAGTTCATGTGTCTCAAGGAGAATTATAACCCACCTAGAGAGCTGTATATCTTCTAGAATTCAACACCCCACCCCACCCCGCTGCCATGTCGAAGAGCATGGAGAAAATCTGATATTAACACAGCTCTGTCTCTGGTTTTCATTTAGATGCTGAACATATCCTCTGAGACAGTGAGCCCTGAAGTGGCCCTGAGAGCAGTGCTGAGCAGGGGCACAGAGAAACCTGTCTCAGCCACTGCAATCTGTCGTCTCCTGTGTGGTGTCCACAAGTCTTTCCCTGGTCTGCAGCCCCTCATACAGGAGTTAACACATGTTGGTAAGAAACAGGTTGGGGCCTGCTAGATCCCGGGGGCACTTTCTATATTGAGTATAAGAAACAGTGGTTGATGTAAGAGGATGTCGTGTTTCAAGATATTTACTCCTTTTATGTGCTCTTGGTACCTAACAGCCAGGAGCGCAGGTGTGACTTGGTGCTATTTGAGTGTAGTGGAAAGTAAAGATGACAGCAATATTACTTCTGAGTTTCCTGAGGATCCAGATAATCCTATCACCTCTAAGAGTGTGTTAGAAAAAGTTGCAAAGCATAATAGAAGCCGAGCCCTAGAGCCACGAGTGTTCTCCTGTGCAGGGTTTCTTACCAAGGAAAATGGAGAGGAGAGGTTGACGGTGAGTGATAGGTTTCACCCTGGAGCCAAGGACAAAGAGGACAAAGCAGCCAATGCAGCCAGAGAAGACTGCCAGCCCGTGGAACAAAAGGATCAGGGGGAGCCTGGGTCTGTGCCAGAGCAACAAGAAAAAGACACGTCTGCCTCCCCGAACTCTGCCAAGAAGAGCTTCATCTGCAAAGCCTGTGACAAGAGCTTCCATTTCTACTGTCGTCTGAAGGTGCACATGAAGCGCTGCCGGGTGGCCAAGAGCAAACAGGTGCAGTGTAAGGACAGCGGTGAGACCAAGGACTTGGAGAAGGAGCCAGAGAAGCACCAGCTAGAAACCCACAGCACAGGCGGGGAGCCCGATGCCCCCAAGAAGAAGAAGAAGCGGCTGCCTGTGGCGTGTGACCTCTGCGGAAGAGAGTTTGCCCATGCCTCAGGTATGTGAGAAGGCACATGGAGGACAGTGGCTGCAGACATTGTGGCTTGGGCTCCAGCCTGGCCCCCTGGGTGTGCCATGCCTGTGGTTGGCTTCAGCACTAGGACAGGTTCGTAGAAGCACAATGCTATTCTGAGAAGAGCATAGGCTCAGGGTGGGCTCCCTAAGCATTGCTCTCCCAGCTGTTAGGGAGAGCAATCCCTATCGGACCCCACTATTCTGCACTGTAAGGGGATTTGAAGATAGAAGAACTAAACACCTAGACCGCACCCACATACTGGCGATTGTAATTGTAGACAGATGTTTGACATCTGGCTTGTTGATGCCCACATCCCATTTATTTGTGGATAAGAAATTTATCGATATGGAAACCCTAAGGTCAGAATCAATTTGCCTTGCCTCAGATGTCTGGTAACCTGATGAAACATGAAAGTGAGAGAGTGAGTGGGGAAATCAGCTGAAAATCTCTAAAGCAGATCCAGCCAGGAGTGAGGCTAAGGTGACTGGGAAGCGGGGAGTGGACTCTAGTGGGCATTGAGGCGGGAAACACTGAGGCTAGGGTGGCATGAGCCTGGTGAGTGCAGCTTGTTTGGACAGCCTCCTGCTGTGATCCTAACTGGCTGATGGTGTCTCCTGGGGGCCTGGTACCCCTACCTAGGCATGCAGTACCACAAGCTGACCGAGCACTTCGATGAGAAACCTTTCTCCTGTGAAGAATGTGGGGCAAAGTTTGCAGCCAACTCCACCCTAAAGAACCACCTGCGCCTTCACACCGGGGACCGCCCATTCATGTGCAAGCACTGCCTCATGACCTTCACACAGGCCTCTGCCCTGGCTTACCACACCAAGAAGAAGCACTCGGAAGGTGAGGAGTAGTACCCTTCCTTTTCCTGCACAGTGTCACTGGGGGAGCTAAACCCCATTTGGCCTTAGGCAGGCACAATAGTTGGGGAAGTAAAGCAGAATTAACCATGTATGCACAGGCTGTAGATCGCTTTCCAGGAGGACTTCTGAAGAGTGAACTAGAACAGTATTAGGATTTTGTGGTCAGAATTTACATATATCCGGAAATTGTTTGCACTTGCAATAGCATTGAAGCAGGAGAAAGAACTGATGAAGTACTTCTGTGGCTGGGCCATGCCAAGTGCCAGGTGACTAGCTTGGAATCCTGTGCTCTTGAACTGCTGGCCTGAGGGCTGGGGAGGGGTAGAGATGGGTGGAGCCCCATCAATGCATCATAAGGAAGCATCCTAGGATGGTAGAGGAGACCATGGTGGGAACCAGTCCAGTGATTGGTCATGGTAGCACTCAGAGCTCCTAGGTGTAAGTAGCCATGCCTCAGTCATCTTATCTGGCTGGTTTCCATGGCCTCAAAGCCTCTTTGTCTAAGCATTCCCTCTAATTTTTTTTTTTAAAAATGATTTGCTTATTTTTATTTTTGTGTAAATTGATGTTCTGTCTACATATGTCTGCGTAAGGGTGTCAGATCCCCTGGAACTAGAATTACAGACAGTTGTGAGCTGCCATGTGGGTGCTGAGAACTGCTGAGCCATCTCTCCAGCAACCCCCTCTTTACCTTAGCAGGTAAAGTGACCCTGGCAGGCCACTCCTGCTCAACAATGCAGTGACTTTTCATCTGCAGTGGGAATCTGAGTCCTGATAGCCTGCCGGGCCCACCGTGATCCCACCCCTGACACCACTCTGACCTCTGCTCTCATCACTCCTGTTCACTCATACCCTGCTGCATGCACTAGTCTCCTTGCCAGGCCTCAGGCCCACTAGGCACTTTGTCCAGGACTTCTATGCTCACTCCCTGTCTTGGGGCCCCTCCCTCCAGAGGGCTCTGCTCCTCTTCCTTCCTCCAAGCACACCTTCTTGTGATTGTTCTTTGCCCTCCTTTGGTTCTTTGCCCTCAGCCTGTTTTTTTTTTGCTTTTTACTTTTCTCCAAATGCTTCCCATGTGAGGGACATCTGCACCATAATTCGTTCACCCTAGCGCCGCCCCATTAGAGCGCAGGCTCTCTGAGTTGCTAGTCTTTCGAGGGAACTTAGAACAGTGCATGGCAACAAAAGGCCCTCAAGAAACATCTGCTTGCCAAGCCCATGCCTTTAACCCCAGAAGCAGAAGCAGGTGGATCCCTGAGTTCAAGAACAGCCAGGGCTATACAGAGAAACCCTTTCTTGAAAAAAAGCAAACAAGAAAGAAACACTTGCTGGTAAATGGATTTCTTGAGTGCTATTCCAGATATAGATGATTTGTGCACACGCTTGCCCTGCTCCTGTGGCACTTTCATTTCAGTGGGTGAGATAAGCAGCAGCCGTGGGATAGAAATGGAGAGGGTCGTCATTGCCATGGTGGAAACGAAGGCTGGAGCAGTGGGGACGGACAGGGCTGGTGTGTGCTATTCACCCATCAGTGATGGCCTCAGAGGGATGAGCAATCCATCCAGAGGGACATCTGGAAGAAGGGCCACACCCCTCCTCAGTGCAAATGAGTTTCAGATGGACCACAGAGAGCTGGAAGCAGAATCATGGGGGACCACCTTAAAGGCAGTATTCAGAGAGGGGCTGTTGAAGGCCAAGATTGGCAGGGTTTTCTAATAGCCAAGGAAAGGACTTCTTTCTGTTCTCATGAATTAACAAAATAACAGCTTGAAATAACATGTGTTTTTACCACCAGGGAGTTAGAAGTTATGTTTAGAAGGGTCCTGAATGCTAAAACCAAGGTTTCATCTGGGATGTGTCCATCAGGGGACTCAGTTCCTCACGTAGAAGCTTCTAGATGTGCCCTTGCCTCTGAGCCACATCACTCTAGCCTCTGCACCTACTGCAGGCCGCCTCCTTGGACTCTGTATCCTCCCTCTGGGATTCCCCTAGGCCACCTGGATAGAATAGTGCAGTCTCTCATCACAAGACGCTTGACTCGGTCACAGCAGTGAAGCCACAAAGAGTTTGGATCAGAGTTTACACTGTATTTGTATGCATTTGTGTGCATGTACAAAATCTTTCTCAAAGCCTGGTCAGTAAAAAAATGGGAACAGGGCTACTGCTCTAGCTGAAGTAGGGACTAGCACTGGGCTTGCTGATCTGGAACCCTCCTCCCCAGTGGCTGCTTCCTGGCCTGGGAGGAGCTGAGGGCCTGGTGTCAGATGTCAGGTCTCCAGTCTTGTTGTTTTCTAACTGTGGTTACGTTCTCATGCACACGGGAAAGTGAAGGATTCCAGGGCTGTGTGCTGACTACAGTGGGTCACAGGAGGCCTTGTCCCCTCAGAACCCCTGACTCAGCTTTGTGGTAGTGGGAATCCATGCTAAATTTGGTGGTTGTTTGCTTTGTTGTGAGACAGGTCTCCCATAGCCTGGGCTGTGTTTTGCAAGAACAAACTCACATTTCTGGACAAAAGGACCTACCTCTGGCTGGAAGTGGAGTGGGCTCTCCCTCTCTGCGGAAACCTGATAAACAAACAGGTTCTCTTAGAGACAAGAGCTTTGTTCCCCATCCAATTGTGCTCACCCACTGTGTGATGGGTTATGTTTGTGAGGTACCTGCGTTTGATGAGGTACCTTAGACTTACCCAGCATTGCCTGAGGTAATGTCACCTGCCAGTGACATTTCTCTGGTGTGTGCTTTAGAGTTAGTTCTGTTTGCAGGAGTGCCATCCGTGTTCAGTGCTTGTTCTCACATACTCATGTGCATTTGCAGGGAAAATGTACGCGTGCCAGTACTGTGATGCTGTGTTCGCCCAATCCATCGAGCTATCCCGGCATGTGAGGACCCACACTGGGGACAAACCGTATGTCTGCAGGGACTGTGGAAAGGGCTTCCGGCAAGCCAATGGCCTCTCCATCCACCTGCACACCTTTCACAGTACGTACTACAATTGCAGTGTCAGGCACCACAGGCTGTGCTTTGCATTGAGGAGGCCTATGTTGTAACAGAGCTGTCACCATGCCAGAGCTGGGCCCCATTCTGGGCTCTCTCCTCCCAATGTTGTAAAACCCACAGTCCCTCAGTCCCTTCTTAGCATATCTCTGTATGCTTCCTGCTTCTCTGTCCAGCCTGTCTCCTTGTCTCTTTAACTCCCCTCACAGAAGAAAATTATGTAAAGAGAGAATGTCTTCACTGTCAGGTTCACAGGGCACTGGAACAATTGGATTAACTCATCCAGCTTCCATCACACACACACACACACACACACACACACACACACACACACACACACACACACACACCCCATTTTCAACCCTGAGTTTTCTAAAGAAGCAAGCCTGGCCCTGTTTGAGTTAATGACCATGGTGCTAGGCAATGCTACCATATTCCATCCAAACTCTCCTTTCTGCCTGGCATTACTCTGCCAAGTGCCATTGTGTTTCACTGAGTTATTTGGGGCTGCCTTAGCTGCCTCCCTTTTGCTCAGGGCTGATGGACACACACACACGCACGCACGCACACAAACAAACCACAAAATACTATTGGGTGGCTGGCCCCTGTCATTTTCTTTATCCTCCTTTGCTGTAGCCATGTAGTCTGGAATTAGCATAGTAAAATCGACACAACACAACAGGGTAGACTGAGAGCTCATATTCTGAAAGTCGTATGAGTGTAGACTTGAATTTTTGTCCCTTGTACATACTTTCCTAGAGACTTTACATTTGTTTGCCCTGCTAAGCTACCTCTTCCCCTTCCAAACTGGAATAAATGGTAGTGTCACCACCTTGGCTTGTCAGAAAAACTAAATGAGATTGTCTTCATCAGTATTCTCTTGTGGTGAAGAGATACCATGAAGTTCATTATCATTATGGTGGCAGGCAGGCAGACACTGTGCTAGAGAGTAGCTGAGAGTTCTACATCTGGATCCATGGGCACCTTGGCTTGAGCATTTGAAACCCCCTAAAGCCCACCCTCAGTGACACACTTCTTCAGACAAAGCCACACCTAGTCCAATCCCTGTCAAGTAGTGCCACTTCCTCATGGCCAAACATCCAAATATGTGAGGCTATGGCAGCCATTCCTATTTAAACCACCACAGAGATAGCACATGGGAAGGACTAAGCCCATGCCTGACACAGAAATGCTCAGTAAATGCCAGAGATTGGTGTTACTGGTGATAAGCACAGCCTTGTTGGGAACCATATGTGACCCTCAGGGCTGTGTGTCTTGCATGCCAGGCAGCTTGCTCTCATCCACCTATCTCCACTTTCTTTCTCATACCAATGTCTCACAGCAAATACTCTCTGTAAACATGTTCATATCGCTTGTCAGCCACCCATCAAGGACTTTGCCAGAATTCATACGTGCCCAGCATGGGTGAGGTGTGGAGAGCTGTCTTTGCGGGGCTGCTGTTGGGACCAGCTGAGCAGCCCCAGGTTCATACCTGAGAGGGGGAGTGTGAACTAAAGAAAGGCTAGCTATAGATGGTGAAGAAAAGATAGAGACACAGAATAAAATCAGGAGGGCAGATTCAGTTAATACTGAATTGCCAGGAGTTTATTTTTCACCACTCTTATATACCTTAACCAAAAAGGGGAACATGGTAACATGTATATGGAGCAAACAGACTTTTCTTCCTCTTTTCTCTAAGGGTACAGTAACCACACCTTAGATTCAACTTCTTGTTCCCTGGCCTTGAGGGTCAGGAGTAACCACACCTCAGACCAGGTCTGTTATTTAGAACAAGACAGCCAAGGCCAAGATGGAACATCCTACTGTAGCCATACCTTTTACCTTTAGGTCTTATGACTTGCTGAGGAGAGCTTTGAACTCTCTGCCCTTGAGCCAAGATGGAGTGCAGCCGTCTTATGGGCACCAACAGTGAGGACTGGACTTCTTAGTCATGTACCCCTGAGGCACTAGCAAGACTCGAGAACTCTAGTCTCAGTGGACCTCCAGATGAATGGGTTTGGCTCAGACCCAGTGCCACAGCTCTGCTGTCTTCTTGACCTTGAGAAATGACGTTCTGCTTTAGTCTCCTCACAGAATACCTGCTTAGCATATCTCTGTATGCTTCCTGCTTCTCTGTCCAGCCTGTCTCCTTTTCTCTTTAGCTCCCCTCACAGTGTGGGGCTGGCAGAAGCAATTTTTGTAGGTAGGTGAATCAGGAAAGAGGAACGCTTAATCTTCAAACTTAATCTTCCATACCCTAGAGCCCACTGGCACACCCTAGAGTGCACCATTCACACAAACCCAACGTTCAGGCCCCACTTTTGTCTGACCACAGTGTTGCTGATAGAAACTGTCAAAGTATCTTAAAAGAGAGCGTGGGACCTGGCATTTCCATGGTGAAGCTAGCCAGAGGTTCTGAAGGCTGCTGTGCGCAGGATTCCTGAGTTAAGCAGAGTCACTATACACACAGGTGGAGCTATGGCTTGGACCTTTCTTTTGGCCAGAGGATTTTATTACCAAAACATTTTGCCTTCAGTTGCTTTAAGAAAAAGATTGATGTTTTCTGTCATCCTGATGGCAAAGGTGTCCATCAGCAGTAGTTCCTAATTTTGAGGTCCCACTGGGGAGTTGGTATGTCCATGGAGGTATTGATGAGACCTCTTCCCAATTAGATCCTTGAGCAAGGTACTGGGTGACCTCTAAATCTTGATTTTCCTAATCTTAAGATAAGACTCACACTAGACCCTTCTCTTCTGAGCATACTCATCCAGTGCTCACCAGGAGTCTATGCAAAGGCTTTGCTGCTGAGTCTCAAGTAGGGACCAAAACAGTGTTGACTTCCTGCCCCTGGCAGGAGACACAGCGACACTCTAGAGGGTATGTTAGGAAGTTCTACTGGGAAGTGGAAGACAAACCTGTCACTGCAGACAGGAGGAACAAGTGTGATACTCCCTGTGAGTCGACCCATGTTGGGGGGAGTCTGACATGTAAGACAGGAAGCAAGTGGTGGAGGAGAGCAGTCTGACGCTGCACAGATAGATGGTGAGTCCAAAGGCATGGAAAGGTCCTGCCTCCTCGGGGAAAGAGAGTAGAGCCAGATTGTTGTCACATTGACTTAGGGTCCTTGGACTCTGGCCCCACAGGAAGTCTGAACTGCCTTCCACCTTGCAGTATGAGGCAGTGGCATGCCACTAATTGCTGCTTGTGCTATCGTCTCCCTCCCTCTCATGAATGCCCTGCCTGGAAGCAGACATAGAAGATCCTTATGACTGCAAGAAATGCAAGATGAGCTTCCCCACACTGCAGGACCACCGGAAGCATATCCACAAGGTGCACTCCAAGGAATACCATCCCTGTCCCACGTGTGGGAAGATCTTCAGCGCCCCTTCCATGCTGGAGCGGCACATGGTGACCCATGTTGGAGGGAAGCCCTTTAGCTGTGGGATCTGCAACAAGGCCTATCAGGTGCACGCCCCCATCCCTGCCTTATTCCCCATTGGTGTTTGTTTCCTGCATGTTGTCCAAGCTTGTCTCCAAGATGTGACAGACAATTTGACTCTGAGAAAGCATGGGTTGGGGGTATACTCAGTGAGCATACACTTCGCATCCATGAGGCCCTGCCTCTACATCCCCAGAAGGCTGTAGTCAGGTTTTTCTTTGGGCTGCCAGCTCACAAATAACAACATGGAGATTTATCATTAATTATGAAAGCTAGGCCTTAGCTTAGGCTTTTTTCTAACTAGTTCTTATAACTTAATTAACCTCTCTCTGTTAATCTACATTCTACCATGTGGCTGGGTTACCTCTTCTCTGTCTTGTATGTCTGATTTGTTCCCTTGGTGTCTCTGATGCCTCAGTTATCTCCTCCTATTTCCTTCCTCTGCCTAGAAGTCCGCCTCTACCTCCTGACTAGCTAGCTGTTGGCCATTCAGCTCTTTATTAAACCTATTACAATAATGTATCTTTACCCCATGTACACGTATCTCACAACATTCCCCCTTTTTGTCTAAACAAATGGAAAGGGTTAACTCTAACATAATAAAACTATGTACAATAAGAATATATAATATGGGTAAGAATTAGACTCATGATGTCTAGTTCATTTGTATTTGGCATATTTGGAGAAAATACTATGTACCTTGATGAATTTAAAGTTTTATACCTAAACCACTTTTTTTTTATCATAACTTGTATTACCATCCTAAAAGTATCCTTTTAGACCTCAAAACATTTTCTTAGATAAACAATTTAAGCTTTTGTGTTACATTTCTTGTGTAAGTTTCTTTTTTGAATTTGATAATAAGGAAAACTGTAACTATAATTATCTTGTTTTCAACCCCATTAGAGACCTGAGAAGGATTATAATATTACCTGAGTAAACAGGAAGTTTAGAGCAAACAGCTTCTAAAATGATAGAAATAACAGAGACAGGCTGCCTGGACAGTCACCCAAGGTTCCTTTGCAATGTTGGGGCATCCATCTTTATCCTACAGGCCTAACATATCTGACAGACTTTTCTATGAAGCAGGAATTTTGAAGGACTGTCCTACCTTATCTTGGCAAAGTTCAGCAGGCACTTTCTTTTGTGTCCTGCTTGTCCAATTTGGACAGAATTCTGTCAGCAGTCGAGGCAAAGAGTGTTTCTTTGCCCAGTGGCTAACTTTGCCACAAAGAAAGCTAACTCTATATGGAGGTTCTTTGATGCCCATCATCCTTTTTTGAAGTAAATTGGTGCGGCCAGGAGCAGATGTGTCTCACTGTCATGAAAAGCCTTAGGTTATTAAACACTTTAAGTGCCATATTCTGTAGGTCTTTGGAGTGTTTGAAGACCACCTGTCTAAAATATACCTTTGTATGACCTTGAAAACATACCTAACATGACTGTAAATTTGGTTGTTAAAGATGACTGACTACTAACCTGTCTTTATTATCTTAAATAGCTTTCAAGGACTGTAACTTTACATTTTTAAATGAACTGCATAAGCACAATACCTTAAACAAGAGTAGAAACATACACAGTGTAACAAAAATAACCTTAAATTTGTATCAAAATATAAAAATTCATACCAATGTAAAATATTTGAGAATAGTGGTTGTTCAAAAGTAGACTCAACAATAAATTCTTTTATCCCATCATTCTTATACTATACCCCCCCTTTCCCATCAGAAAGAGATCCCTGAATCTAATCTCCTTTGTTCAGTTTTTTTTTTTTTTTTTTCCTGGCCATGACCAATAACAACTTGTAACCAACCTCCCTAAACAATGACAAACGTCCATAACCCACAGAATGACCAAAAACTACCCACCCCACCTCTTGGGAATGTGGGCATCATGTTCTCTAGACTGCTTCCTGTTTTCTGGGAGCAGCAGCATCTTTAGGCGACCCTGAGAAAATTGGGATAATGACTAACTTCAGGCCAGGGCCACAGGGATGAGGCTCCATTCTCACTGACCCAGAGTGGGTGGAGCCAGCCACCAGGCCATGTACTAGCAGCTGAGAGTCCAGCCACTGCTTAGCAGTTTATGGTTTGGCTCACGCATCAGAGAACACTGCAAGTGTACAACTGCGGGCCCTTAGTAAAGTCAGGTCCGGACCAAGAAAACCTCTGGACAGATACAGATGTATAAAAATGTGCTTGGATGCTAAAGAAAATAGGTATAGACAGTTATAGAAAAATAAATAGTGTGAAAATAATAAAGTCTTTAAAGAGAGAGTAAAATAATATAAAAGGAAAAAGCCATGTAAAGATGGGAAACACACAGGGTGTCTGGATCTTGTATGGTACTTTGTTGACTTTAAACAGCTGCTTGCTGTTCGCCTCTCAGGGAAGGGCTCCGGGTTTTACTTTGGAGATCAGTGAAACCACACAGTGGTCCAGAAATAAACCTTACCTGTCAGAAACTGGTCATTGAGAACAACAGTCCTCACTTATGACTGATGTTTAGACAGAGCAATCACTGATTTAAATATTGAGGACTGGCACTGTGCCAGGCCTCATGCTGTGGTCTGGAGTAAGACAGGGTGTGATCCCTAGGAGCCGAAGGACTTGTAGAGAGATGCCCCCAGTGCACTTGTAGAGCTGAGACCAGAGAGGGATGAATGCAGCTTCTGGCTCTGCTCTAGCAGGCCACTCTCCACACCTCAGGCCTCAGCAGCACTGAGGTCTAGCCTAGTGTGCTAAACACATACATGCTCCAGTCAGGCCAGGCTTTGGTTCTAGTCTGGATATTTGCTGAAGTGGCCCTGGGCAAGTCCCTAACCCCTCTGTGTGGCAATCTGCCTCCACAGGACAATCCTTACATCCCTCCCGACTTAGGGTTGTGTGAGGCCTCACTAAAGGGTCCACTGAGCTCTGTCTGTAGTGGCCTCTCCACTGACATCAGCCTCCAGGGGCATGGTTCTAGATCCACGAGCTTGTCTCAGAACTATCATCATTGCTGGAACTTTCTAGGACCTAATATTTGCCAATTGCCTTGCAGCAATTGTCTGGCCTGTGGTATCACAATCGGATCCACCACCCAGACGTGTTTGCTGCCCAGAGCCATCGGTCACCCAAGTTCTCATCCCTGCAGTGCAGCCCCTGTGACAAGACCTTTCCCAGCACCACTGAGCACAAGAAGCACATCCGAGCAGCACATGCAGGTGACACTAGCGCAGCTGGGGATCAAGGGACGCGTGTCCTCTCTCCAGGCACAATGGTGATTGCCTCTGCTCTGCCCTAGCTCACCAGAGGAGGCCACACCTGCCCATCAGGAGCTGTGGTTTAAGTGGAAGCAGTTCTCAAGCCCCTTAGCATAGAGCAGTGTAAGCTTCAACCAGCCCTCAGGAGACCCAGCCGGCTCCTGGAAAGGGTGTCAGCTTTCATGGCAGATGGGTCCAGGTGGGAATCTTGGCTCTAGCACTCAGCAGCTGCATGACCTTGGCAGGTGACATCTCTTTTCTGAGTCTGTTTTCATCTCTTCAGAATGGAAGTTATTAATACCTCCCTTGCAGGTACATTTGGGGATAATCACAGCAGCTGTCAGTTATAGAGCATTTCCTGTGTGCAGGGCACCAGCCAAGCACTCTGTATATTTTGTCATTTAATTCTCACAACCCCCTTTGCATCCACACAGTCTGGAGCAGATCAGTGCTTTCTACCAGGAGGTGACACAGATCTCTACAGGCACAGGTTTCTAACAGTTTGCAGATGCTATCTGGGATGTGGGTCCTCGCCCCACCCAGCCCTGTTGCCTACCAACCGTAGACAACCCATCCTTTGTCCTTGCTACCACTTCTTTCCTTTCACACTCACAGATCTGAAGTTCCACGAGTGTGACCAGTGTAAGGAGCTCTTCCCCACACCAGCTCTGCTGCAGGTTCACGTCAAATGCCAGCATTCAGGTCAGTGGCCCTCAGTGGTGGGGCATGAGTCTTGGGTCCACCATTCACAGATCTATGTAGCCCAACCTAAGTCTTTTTACTGACTTGTGCCTCTATTTCATCTGGAAGATGGCACATCTATATCAGCCTCGTATGAAGCCATGAAAACTGCAGACCTGGTCCCGGTAAACAGCCCTGTGTGAGAGCCATGACTGTCACTGGGGCTGTATTTCATTCAATATAAATTGAACAATTTTTATTATTATTATTATTATTATTATTATTATTATTATTAGTTCAAATTAGGAACAAACGTGTTTCATATGTCGATCCCTTCTCCCTCTCCTTCTCCTCACTCCCATCCCTCCTCCCTCACCCAAATTGAACCATTTTTAAAGAAACATCAAGAAGGGAGAGTGCTGCCAACAAAGCTGTGTTTTTTATTATTACAATTTGTAGACTATTCAAAGTAGTCTTCTTTTGCTTTTGTTTTTCAAGGCAAGGTTTCTCTATGAAACAGCTCTGGCCATCTAGAACTTGCTTTGTAGACCAGGCTGGCCTCAAACTCACAGAGATACACCTGCCTCTGCCTCCTGAGTGCGTAAAGGTGTGCGCACCACCTGACAGCATTTAGTCTTAATTGATACCAATTTTTATCACTTACTCAAGTACATACGTAAAAAGGAGAACATCAGAAGTAAATTACGGGAAGAGCTGAGCATCACAGAGTAACCTTTGGTCCCTTTTCCAGTGTTACTCTGCCGTCGGAGCATTGATACAGGGCACAGCTGTAGGGTTCCATCAAAGGACAGGAAGCCATTGGTTTGGTCTCTTGAACACCTGATAAAATTGGACTGCTTTTGGTCCCCAGTCTTGGAATGTAGCCATGTGCCTTTTCCCTCTTAGACTCTGAGTCCCTGGGAGGTAAAAGTGTGCCCCATCCTGTTTAGAGATGTTCTAAGCCACAGGCTCTGGTCCTGCCAGCTTTGATGTTTATCCATGCACAGTAGTTGATAATACACTCGACTGCAGTCTAGCCTGTAGCAGTCAGGTGCGTCCATCCCATTCAGAAGTCTCAAGATGCACTTCCTCAGGATGATAGTATAGCTCAGTGGTAGGCTTCTTGCCTAGCATCTGAAGGCCTCAAGTTCAATTCCCAGCATAGAAAAAGGAAATGTAGTCCCATTTTCAGGCTGTCTGCTGTTGAGTGAATAGTGGGCATGGTAGAGATAACTCAGCCGCAATCTACTGCAAATGGCACTGTGGCCCGAGGGCCTTAGCCTGCTCTGTGTCTGCAGTTTCATAAGGAGGGTGTGTGAGCTTCAGGTCCCCTGAGCCTTCCTCTACTGCCCCATCCTCCCTGTGCCTCCCTTTGCCTCCCCTGCCCCGAGCCATCCTTCCCTTGCAGTCAGGTAATGTCTTCTGCCTCCTCTGTCAGGGTCTCAGCCATTCCGGTGCTTGTACTGTGCAGCCACTTTCCGCTTCCCTGGAGCACTGCAGCACCACGTCACCACAGAGCACTTCAAGCAGTCGGAGAGCACCTTCCCCTGTGAGCTCTGTGGTGAGCTCTTCACCTCCCAGGCCCAGCTTGACAGCCACTTGGAGTCTGAGCACCCAAAGGTAACAGGCGCTGAGACTCAGGCAGCCGCTCCTCAGATGGTGCAGGTGAGTGTGGGGCCATGGGACGTGAGCACAGTTCTGAGGCACCTCTAAGGCACTTGTTCTCAGCATCCAGTCCCACTCTGTGGGGCTCTCCCATGTCCTTATCATGCTGCCTGCCTGATCTTAGCAGCTCCGAACGCCTATCAGGCAGCAGGAAATTCCAGTCTATTGGTGGCCTCTAGGTGGAGGGAGCCTGGAACAGGAACTTGCAAAGTCAGAACAGCAGTTTCACCTTCCAGCTTGCAATTCTCCACCTTCTGAAAAGCACTGTGGGATCTGGAGGGTTTTCAGGAAACCCTGGAGAAGGCTGACTGTACTCTGCTGGGCAAGGCCTATGGGTAGACCCCCTGGCTGGATACAGTACACATTTGTGTAAGCTCGAGCCTTCACTCACCTGGTGAGAAATCTGCCTCTTGATGAGGGAAGGCCAAGCCTGGGCCAGCCTATTTCCCTGCCACTTTCTGCTCTCCCATCTTCTCCAGAGACAGCAGAAAGGAAAAGAAATTGGCTTCTGACAGCTGTCAGTAGTTCCTAGAGAAGTTGGGGTAGGGTTGTAGACTGACGGAGGTGTCTCTGTCCAACTGTCACACTATCCAGGTGTAAACCAGTCTTGTTTTGCAGCCTCTGGGGACTAGAGAAGGTCAGATGGGCTGGATTCCAGCTGAGGCTCCCATTGTCATCCCACTTTGAGCTGAGGCTCTCCTTCTGTCTTGCCTAGAAACAAGGCTTCTAGACAAGGTATCTTGCAGGTGGGAGAAGACTCCAGTCCTAAAAGGAAGAAAGGTAGTTTACAGTGTAGTTTTCAGAAGTACTACTACTATACCAGATACCTGTTGACTGGCCACCACAGTTACTTATTCCCACAACCCTGCCACAGAGCTGGGCCTACCTTCCTCCCCAGTGCCCACTCTCCAACCCTGGCTGGTCGCCCTGAGCCAGGTGGCTATGCCCTTGGGGACACACTGCCTTAGAAATATCAAGGCATCAAGCTGTCAGAAGTATCATCTTGGAGGTGCAGCAGGAACCACAGAAGAGCTGGGAAGGCCATTGTTAACAAGTGTTTGCAGGGGCACCTGTGGCCTGTGGAGGGGACAGGAGCTGGTGCCTGCCCCACTAGCCACTGAGCCAAGTGACTTCTCACTAAGAAGGCTTTCAGTCAGCCTCCGAGAGGCCCAAGCTCTGGGTAGAGCATTCCTGTTTCCTTGGAGCTCTTGCATGGCACTTACTTTGCAATGCTATCCCTGAGACAGGAGAAGCCAGTGCAGGCTGCTAAGCCAGTGTTCACTGGGGTGTAATCACAGAGTCCATGCACCCCGAGGTGGCGTACTGAGCAAAATTATAGCAATTTAGTGCACAGAGTTATTTAAATTGTCTGCCTGCCTCTCTTTTGCATCGCTGGTGTATGAAACTTCCCTCTTCCCATTAGGTCTAAGTAATTGCTCTCCTCAGGTGAAAACGTAAATATCATCATTACTGTGTGAGACGAGAGCCATGTAAATTCTGGGGAGCTCACTGTGGACACTGCCCAGAGCAGCCTTCCTGTCTTTCCTTTCAGGTGATCCAAGCTTCAGAGCCAGCGGCCGCGGCCGAGCAGGTGATCACGTTAGAGGAGACTCAGCTTGCTGGTTCACAGGTGTTTGTGACCTTGCCAGATTCACAGACCTCTCAGAACAGCTCTGAGCTTGTGGCAGTGACGGTGGAGGATTTGCTGGATGGTACTGTCACCCTGATCTGTGGTGAGGCCAAGTGAATGGCTGCTCCTCTAGTAGAGGGGGACTGTACTATATCCAAGAGGAAGCTCACAGCCAGCCGGCCTCTGCTCTAGCTGCTGTCCCAAGTGGTGAGCTGCTCGACTCAGCTCCACCCTGGTGCTCTCACTTGGAAATCATTGTCATTTTTCTAGGATCCAGTGTCTGATGCCAACACTGCCGCCTGTGTGGCAGACAGCCTCAGTCCTCCAGGCCACAGCTCAGGCCTAGATTCCACCTACCCCCAAGGGAAGTGTCTTCTGAAATCAGAGTCTGAACGAGTAGTGCATGGGAACCCGTGGCCAAGGTGGCTGAGGAGATACAGCATGCTGGGTACCCTCAGGAGCAGGGGAGTTACCTGAGCCCACAGACGGCCTACCCACACCACCAGTGCCTCTGCCAGTAAAGCACCAACACAGCCTCCTGGGACCCCAGCTTGGCAGCCTGCCCTTCCCCATCCTCCCTTCTGCTCAGGTGCCCCTCAGAATTTGGCTCTACAGTAGGTGGCAGTGTTAACAGTACAGGAAGCCCTTCTGCTCTGCCCTTCCCAAAACAAAGCTTTGGAGCATTGCTGCTGGGAGGCAGCCTCATGTGAGGCCATCCAGCTGTGTCTGTCTTCCTGGATGTTCTTCACTGCATTCCTTATGGAGAGCTTCCCTGTGATCCTCAGGCCTTCCACGCCTTCCAGTAATTGAGGCTGAAACAACATCTCAGCCTGGAGACCTCTTGCCGTTTTCCTCTTGCGCATATGATGGTCTAATGAACAGCTCCTGGGGGCAGGCCTGGCCTGCATGTGATGGATGAGAAGCATCCCAGGTGGCCTCTGCCTGCTTTTCCTACCACTGGCCCACCTGCCTGGTACATGGCCTGCTCTCTGGGCTCCCCTGGCTGCAGGCTTACTGCAGATCGGTGCTCCATTCGAGTCTGAGTGTCACAGAGCCTTTTATCTTTAGTTCCTGAAATATAGTCTGGTAATTGATGGCTTGTGGAATCCGGTTGGAAGTGCAATTAGATGGATGTTGGTTCCTGCTGCTTAGAGAGAAGGGCTCACATTTATCTTCCTTTCCTAGAAGCCCAAAGATAGAAGAGGGCTAGCACAGTTTTTGCCCTAAGGCAGGACTCCCTGCCCACCTAGTGTGGCTTGACTCTCTACAAATGTCCTGATTTGGCCACTTACCTTTAAGCCACCTGCTATGAGATAAGCCCGCCCCTTCTTGCCAAGTGCAGCTCACATGACCATGTGCAGAGATGAGTGTCAAGTCTGGTCATGGTGAGGTGCTTTGCCACAATCCCTGCAGCTGGCCCACTGGAGGACAGAAGGTAGCGGTTTAACCAGACAGCAGTGTTCAAGGGCTGCCCTTTGGCCTTAGCTGGGCACAGGCAGCCCAGGTGAGTTTCCATGCTGGACTCTAGCTCTGGCCAGCCTATCCCAGTCAAGCCCACCTTCTTCACTGTTTATGCAGGTTGCTTGACTCTTTCCCTTTCTAAAAGTAAATGTTTTTCAAAGCCAGTCAGACTCAGAAACCAAACACTGACCAGAAGATGGTGCTCAAACATCGAGGCTTCACCTTCCTTTAAGCTCAGCATTCCCACACTGCGGCCTACTGGCTTTCAGACCTGTGGCTGCCAACCAGGGGAGCTCTTGATCTGTAAGTGGTGTGCGCATGCTTCCAGGCTCTGTCAGGAACAGCACCTCACAAGCCGTGGGGAGGAGTTTGAAACTGTTGTGAGTGTTATCAAAAATAAGTCTCTTCCTGACAAAAGGCAAAATATTACATCCGCTGAGGGCCTGTAAGGCAAGGTCAGCCTGGGTATGAAGAGCTGGAAGTTAGAGACTTGAGAGTCAGACCCTTCCCAGACTGAGAAACCCAGCCTCGGGTTTCCTGGGGACCCAGGTAGTGCTCGGGCACACACTCCCTTCAGTCACCAGATGTAGTCTGCTGTAGAGAGCCGTAGAGTTGGTAGGCTTGCCACCCGTCCTTGAATGCACAGCTCTGGCACACACACACTGCTGGGAGCACACCAGTGCCGGATCTCACAGGAGCACGGGGAGTGAGTTCTGTGCTGGTGACTGGTAACCTCTGCATCAGCTGCCTGACTTTTTACAGTGACTCCAGAGAAACCTGGGGAAAGTCTGCCACTGCTGCCCCAGAGGCCTTAACTACCTAAGAGGGCATTGTTAATGGGCCTCTTTAGTTCACATTGTTTTTACAATGGAAGTGTGGTTCCATTTACTTCATTCCCATGAATATTGACTGCCTGGCCCTTGAGCAGCAGCCAGAAGAGTCTCCAGGTTCTGGGAATTTGTATATTTATGCAGTGGGACCCCAATTCTCCCCAGGGCTCCTGATCAAACCACTGAAGAGTGAAAGGCAGATGCCAAGCTGAAGTCTAGTTGGGCTGTCCTCGGTGTATGGACAGCAAGCAGGTGACTGAAGAGCAGAGACCACTGTGAGCATTTGGGCCAGTGTAACAGACGAAGGTCTTTCTCGACTGTTTTATAAGGCTTGGCTCTTCTGTCTCTGAAGCTTTTAGTTCATTCAGTATCCAAGACTGTGGCCTAAGCTCTAGGCCGGTGTGCTGTGCTGGTCATTCCACGGAAGCCTCTGTCCCATGCTGACCACAGTGGGGATTCCTCAGCCTCTTCCATAGGGCCTGAGGTCCCGTGGTCAGAGCTGAGGGATGAGATAAGGGACAGACATGCCAAATAAGGGGGGAAAAAAAGATCTCTGTACTCTTAGGGATGGGAGAGTGTGCCTTTAAATTTCATGTGCCTGAGAACCTGTACTGACAAAAGATGGAGATGCTGACAGCCTCACTTAGAGCAGGCAAGTGCTTCTAGGGGACAGGGATACTTTCTTTTGGAAAGTTGGCCAGTGGTAGCAATGGCACTGGTTTGCTTCAGTCAGCTCTCCTAGCCTAGCCTTGTTCTGCAGGGCCCTGTATGTCACAGAAGAGACTTGGGAGCCTGGAAGGAAAGTGAAAGATGTGGGGCCAAGGGAGTGAGAGGCAGGTTAATAGTTTTGTTGCTATGGAAACTTTGGGGCACTGAGGACTTATACTAAAAACTCAGAAAGAAACTCAAACTTATTCTAGTCTAACTGGAAGAGGAGACTGGTACATTCTCTGGGGACCATGCTGTTGAGGAAATCATTCCTTGGACTAATTTACATGACCTCCAAATTACGAAAATGGTCATGGTCGTCCTGAGCAAAGTCAGCGATGCTTGTTTCTGCCCATGACCAGACAACCAGCCCCAGGAGATGTTGTATAAACTGGACTGCAAATGAGAACGCCGCCCAACATGCACTGTGGCTGGAAATAAAGTATGTAGTGTGAATCAATTGTGGTACGTGTATTCAGGAGACTGGTGGTATGGACCCGTTTTCTTTTCGGTTCTGGGCAAAAGACTTGGTGTCCTGGGGCGACCACTGTGCACCTTCAGGCCATGGTAACTCTGATCATGCAGTTTCATTCTACATCCTCTTTCTAAAGGAGCAGTGTGGGCCACATTTCAGAGCATAGGGTCTGAGTCCTGCTCAGCTCCTTCCTGGGCTTCCAGCAATAAGTACAGAGATGGTGGCTACTCTTTGGCTAGGGAACAAGTTAAAGTCTGGATTTACTGAGTTTAGTGAGGAAGGTTTACACACAGGCCAGCCTATGTTCTCTGATACAAGGAGAATCTTTTTTTCCCTCTCTTTTTTTGTCTCCCCGTGCCTGAATCCCTTGAGACCCCTTACAGTATCTACCACTTTTCATTTATGTATTGAATCTCTGTGGCCCCTAAAGTACCAAGTGTGCAACAGATAACTGAAATAAGCAGAGCTGAAGACGTCACTTTGCTGTCAGCTGACAAGGGACAAGAGGTGGCACTAGAAGGACCAGAGTTGGGGGAGGCCTGCTGCATCTTCGAGCTAAGCTTGGCCCCAGTGCTGGGAAGGCAGGACTCAAGGAGGCTTCTGGAACAGTCTTGGGGTACAAGAGGAGGTGTGCAGAACCCACAGACACCCTTCTGTCCACGTGAGGTTTTCGCAGAGAGACTAGAGCTATCCAGGTCTCATCTGGGCCAGTAGTCTTGAGATTTTGCACTGCTGTGAGATTTAACTGAAGCATGTCCTTGGGCCCTGGAGGAAGGGGAATATAGAGAGGGCTGGTCTGGGATGGTTTGAACACAGTAGGAAATGGGCTGAGGGATCCCTAGTGAGCTGGCAGTCTTCTGCAAGGATGAAGGCTGCTGGCTGAGGGGGCAGTACAGCATAGAGGGAAGGGATGGAAGTAGGAACCCCCACCATCTTCCTAAGAAGATGACCTTGGACAAACCTTTCCTAAGAGTGATTGTGAACCGTTATTAACATTTTAAAGTACCTGAGTGCTGAGGCTCCTAAATGGTTGTCACTGTTTGTGATAGGCTCAAGGGGAATGAGCCAGGGCCAAGAAGGACTGGAGAGGAGCAGAACCCTGTGTATAACCCAAGGGAGGCAGAGAGCAGGGCCTCTAGGCTGCACTGCAGTAAGCCCAGAGCCTCCCTAGGACAAATGGGCTCCTGGAGTCCTCTGCAGCACAGCCAAAGGGTCACAGCAGAGTAAAGGCACTGGACCAAGTATGGTGTGTGTGTGGCTAAGCTGCTGTCCTGCGTGCATCTTCAGTCTACTGTTCGTTGTCTCATCCTCTGTGAACCTGTGATCATGGATGTCTTTGGGTGAAAAAAAGAAAAGCCGCCTAGCGTAATGACACAAGCCTTATAATCCCAGTCTTCCTGAAGAAGAAACAGGTAGATTGTAAATTTGAAGCCTGTCTGGACCATAGAGCAAGTTGGAGGTCAGCTTTGGCTACTTGGCAAGGCCTTCCCTTAAAATAAAAAAAAAAAAAATTCTGGGTGAGTGCTTGACTCCAGCACTCTGAGTTTGAAGCCAACCAGCTACATAATGAGACCCTGGCTCAAAATACACACAAAGAGAAAAATGGGAGGAATGGAGTACTAGGGGATATCATCACCACTATGGCTTGGGTGAGCCTAGAATGCAAGGTTTCTCTGAGAAGAGGCATCTAGGATTTGCAGGCTTCCTTTTCTCTACATCCTTTTGCTCCTTCACTGAGTGCTTATCATAACATAACATCAGTGCCTGTCTGCCGAACTGGTCATGGACAGTGTACTCACTGGGTGCTTAGGTGAGACTCAGCCCAAGCACACTGTATTAAGCAGGAATAGAGCTTGTGTCCTGTGTCCTGCAGGAGCTGTTTCCCACGGTGGCATATGCTATAATTCCATCCTGCCTGCTCACAGCCCATCTGCAACTTGGCAGGGCAGAGAACGGCACTGGTCTGGGGTGAGTGCTGCTGGAGTCCCACGGAGGTGGGGCTTTCCCAGGTTTCCTCTCCAGCTGTTACACAATGGAAACCCCTGGCAGTAGAAGTTAGATTTTTGCCACAGTTCTTCTGCAGCTCCATCCCTGCTGGATTCTGAGCTTTGAGGAAGGGACCAAATCTGACAAACTATTTCTCTGGAAAAGTGGGGAGTGCCAACTTGGGAACAGAGGGGACCCAGTACTCTGCTTGTTTTTTCCCCATACTGCTTCACATCTCTGGCAAGGATGCCCCCCTAGATACCTGTGGGAGAATCCGTGGGAACAGCTCCTTTCTTTGTCCTCTGAGATGAGATTAACAAAAGGCTGAGCAAGCTAGCCTGAGCTCCCCAGCTGCTCTGATTAAACAGCATGCCTGCCGCTCTCCTTGCACTGGGTTCCCCCAGTGCAGGCCAGGGACAGCTGATCAAACACATCTGGACAAGGTCAGTCCAGGGACCTGCAGGCCTTTCCAGGAGAGATTTTGTAGTCCTGCCATCAGGAGGGCCTGATAAAAATGGACAGCATGGAGAGGGACCCTGGGGACTGGCATGGGGCCCAGCAGCTTTTCACCCTGTGCAAGATGGAAGTGTCTGATCCAGGCAGGTTCAGGACAGAAGCCGACTCTCCAGGCCAGCACTGGAGCAGCCTTAGAGCCCAAGGGCTTCAGCTGAGGAACAAGGTGGCTGTGTACATGTTCCTGAGGCATGCAGGGACAAAGTTGTAAAAATGGCATGCAGGTGACTTTGGGTCCATGAGGTTATTAGATTGTCACAGGCTGACTTCAGGCCTCCTTCAACAATTGTGACTCCCTTCAAGGGTGATGACAGCACTGACCTTGCTCAGGTGTACACATGCAAGCATCTAGAAAGTCTAACCCACCAGATGTCTGGCTGCATGTATCCTGGGAACGACTGATCCCACGCACATGCCCTGGACATATGGGGTGAGGCTGAAAAGACGCGTGGCTTCTCTGTCTAGGCACCATGTTCAGTGAGTGACCTGTCTTAAAAATAAAAGGCAGAGAAGTGATTATGGAAGACACCAACATTGACCCCTGGCCTTCACATGGACAGACATATACATGTACCCACACATAAAAATATTATCATCATTAGTAATTGGTGTTAAGTGATTACCACACAGTGGACACTGAACCTTTTTGGGTTTTCGAGACAGGGTTTCTCTGTGTAGCTTTGGAGCCTATCCTGGCACTCACTCTGGAGACC